GAAAGCGATTGTTTCGTAATAAGAATATCAGAGCGCGTCAAAATATTTACGCTGATCCGATGCAATTTTCCGGGCGATCGATCAGTATGTCTGTCAGATGATTGTTAGAAAGTTGTTACATACGATAGATGCGTGAAATTGAACACGAGTTGAATGGTATTGTGATCTTTATTAAATGGCTGTATGTAAGCGGAATGATTGTACAAATATCTTAATTAGAATATACTATAGCGATATTTAATTAAGTACGAAGAATAAGGTTTTATATCATATAATGCGGATTATATTTCTTAATGTTAAATATTGATACCTTTGTCTAGAAGATAGTGGTTTGGTCGAACCCTCTTTAAGTTAAAAAAAGTTTCGTCTTTATTGTGAAACAATCGACAAACGAATGAACAAAAAAGTATCCACCAACATTATAAGTTTTGGGATTTCATTTGTTTATTTTATTATCTATGTTGTTAATCTATTTCATGTATTATGTGTGTGTGAAATCGCAGCCATTCAAATATACGTGAATCGATGAGTTAAAAAAAGCTCGCTGAATCCTCAGTCCCTGTGGGATTATTCGCGGGATGGAGTGCAAAGAGTGACTGAGGGGTGGAGATAAAGGGGAATGTTTATCCCGACTCGGAGATGTCTCCCGTTAACTCCCGTATATAACATAAATTATGCATTGGAATGTAAATGCTTCAAGACCCCTGTCGTTTCATCGGCCCGCTCCCCCCTTTCATTGGTCCACTGAGCAGATATCAGTACTGTTAAATAAAAATATTACACTACTTTTTTGTTTTTGTGCTTGTTTTGAATAATGTTATGTGTTTCTTGGAATTGACGACGGTAAGACATCAATATTAATAATCTTAAAACACAAAAGTTTACACGTAATTTGATCAAAAAAGTTTAATTTTTTTAACAATTCAGGCAGAATACAATCTGCATTTTATATTTACTTGTTAAGGACCAACTGATAACAGTTTTTTTAAAAAGTATATGAAGAAAACTGTAACTTTATAACATTTTTTGTTCTGTAGGTCTCATCTAAATATAATGAAGGTCTAAAGATACAATAGCTACACCTACCTAATTAAACACAACGCCTTTGTCAAAATTAATTTCATAAACTTCCTATTTAGGAAAAATTATGACATCACTGACAAAAGAAAACAATATTTTCTTCTATAGATACGCGGCGACCACCCAGCTTCTACAGAGATTCTCAGGAAATCGCGTCCACTACCAGAGTAAGGGCGCACGAGGAAAAAAATTGTACCGCGACGCCAGCGCCGCCGCCGCTGCATGTCGAGACTTCTCTGATTAATGAAACATCTGCTCACTCAACCGGAAAACGAGTAAGCGACATACTACCACACAAAGAAAGATAGACTTTATGCCGTATACTCAAGGTTAGAAACACATTGATCTTGTTATAAAGATGTGTTGTTTTAACCTAATATAATCAAGAATACCAAACGTTTCCCCTCAACGCTGTAACATTTGACGTCCTCGTGCGACACATATACATAAGTACAGAATGGCAAGATATGGATTTATTCGCTTTTGTTAAAATGTTAAGGCAATGTTTGTAGCACAGGGTTCTTTAATTAACAAAACATGTTCATAAATGTGAACTTTCTTTTCAATCTATGAAACTTTTGTTATTGAAATTCCCCAAATTTCAACCTATTATATGTACTAAGAAATTATATTATAAGTTTATGTATAGTGAACGATAGGGGATATTAAATATAAGTAGTAGAGAATCGATAAAGGTGTTTGTGACTATATGTGGAGGCTTGAACTGTGAAATGAAAATCTTTGAAATACCAGCAATAATATTTAAATAACAGAGGCTTCTCTGTATACTAGCTTACATCCACGACTCCTTGCGCGCGGAATAAAAAAAAAACTTAGTAAGTAGCTTATGTGTCATTTCAGACAGTTCTACATCAGTTAAAATTTTTTCGAAATCCGTTCAGCACTTTAGGCTACAAATTCTAACATACATCCATCCACACATCCAAAGATTTGTACATATTATATTAGTAAGATTATCTACACAGCTAAATAATAACACTCACAAATAAATTAGAAATGAGAAAGTAGAAAAAATTTGAATGTATCAAAATATTTACAGTGTGTTTAAGTACTCGGGAGTCATGAACTCGAAATTGGAACGTATAAGGCTTCAGCTGACGTCATTTGATCGGGAAAGGAGGTGGCAGAGTGGCAGGAGGGGGAGGTGAAATGGAAATAGCAGGGGGGCGCGCTGTCAGCTGTCACACGTCTGACATACGATGACGTTTCACGTCACAAACTTACGCGTGGCTTCGGAAAGCTCCTTACAATATTGGAGATATATCAATATACTATACATATAGGAATGTAATCTGATAAATGCTGTGTATATTCAGGACTGTTCGAGGTTTGCTTGTAAAAGTTACGTAAGTTTTTTTTTATTTTTTAAAAAATCTGTCTTGCATAAAGATATTTCTTTTTCAAAAGTTGTTATATAAATATGTATGTTTGTGATAAAGGTAATCACATAAATTTAACATAAGACCCAACCCTCGATATGGGAGGGGCAATGTATTGCAAAAAACGTCGGCACTCGGCCCTACAAAGATAGGAAACGAACCCACTATTACACGAAATTGGCTATACGATTCCCTTTAAGATGGATATTTCGGAATTCCAAATAAGTTTGGGAGAATACTTTTTTTATTAATATTGTTGGCAGGTAGAAATAACGAATTTTCAATAAGGTTTAGGCCACACTTTTAGCGAAAGTTTTTAATATTATGCTTAAGGCATCTTAGGTCTAAAATTATATTTCAGGCCACTGCGGAAAGTATCTGGGTTCGTTTTAAATACATCAAAGAATTGATTTCAAAATGAAACTTGAAACCGGAAATTTAGCGACGAAAACTTTCAAGTGAATCGACTAAATTTAAAACTGTGTTTCGTAGCAAAATAAGAAACAAATAATACGATCAAGGCAGCTAAATAGGTTTTTCTACAAATCCACACTATTAAAACGTTCGAAGTACATATAAATGTGCATTGGAATTCGACACATGAACATCAGAATTAAGGTTTAAATTTGTGTGAATTGTAAATCGCGAAGTTTGATAAAGGGCCTGTCGTATTGTTCATTAAAGTTGGATTAAGTTTGCGCGGGTCGGAACGAGCAGCCGGTTAGCGAGGAAGCAGCAGGCCGAGGGCACAAGAAACTTTATCAAAGAAACTTCGTCCGTCGTCGTGATAGCAATGTCTTCATTGAATGACTTTGATTTAAATAGCTTGAGACGTTAGAGGAAATTCAATCTAGTATCCTTAAATTTTTAGCATAAAATGTTTTCCAAGTTTATGCTACCTAATAAAATATTTTGCTTGTGAATAGCGAAATATTCAGACTTTCCGATCAAGTGATCTTAAATTTTCCACCTCCTTTACCCTAAGCTGTGTTGTGAAATACTTTTGGGAATGGTTCAAGCAGCTGAAATACGCCTTCACTAAACAGGATACAATTGACTTCCTACGGTTATCTTTTTAAAAGAACTAACTTTTTTATTTTTTGTAATTACCAAATCGGTCGTCTGTTCTAAAACTCGCTTCGGTAAAATATCTCAGATCTAAGTCTGTTTACGTATTGATCGGACACCCATTGATCGGATGTTCCCACCTTTTGTAGCCGCAGCGGGTTGGAAGCCGATGCCGTGACGCAGCAGAACCGCCAGATGACCGTGATAGGTAGCATTGTGATCGTCTAATTCAATAAAATCACCGGACATTTTTGTTTATTTGTCGGTACCCTTGTCGGAGCTCCTTAGTGTTGTATTAGCGGCTTTAGCTGCATGATACGTTGAGCGTGACTGTACCTTTGTTCTTGTTGGCTTAGTTAGACGATTCTCCACGGAGATGGTCGGCTCGTCTCGAGGATTATTACGTATGACATGTTTTACTATTGTTACAAGATCTTTTTTTTTCTTCTCAAATTAGTGATTGTAATATGATAAGATCTGGGATTACAGACTTGTTTTGTTCTTAACTACAAAAATAGTGGGATAATTACCGAAAAGAAATACGACAAATAGCCAAGGAAATAGAAAAAAGTATTACATTGCATTCTATATGTTACCACTATAAAGTTTTATACATACTAGCTTTGGCTCGCGACTCCGTCCGCGTGGAATTAAAAAAATACAAAAGTGAGTATCATAAGTGTTCTTCCAGACTATCCTCTACATCTATGCGAAATTTCATCAAGATCCTTTCATCCGTTTAGTCTACAAGCTCTAACAAACATCCATCCATCTATCCATCCATCCATCTAAACTTTCCATTTTATATATTAGTAAGATAAGAAAAGATTATTTATCGGAAGCAATGCAATAATAAAAACAAAGTGTTTTGAAATAAAAAATAAAAATGATTCTAAAGAAGTTACAAAAGAAAAACCGTGTAGTAACAAGTTTAATCGAAATTAAATAAAGATTAAAATAAAATGTGAACATGTAAAGTGGTCTAAAACAGGAATTTGAAAAATTAGTAATAAATATTTAAAGCGGTAAGCTACGACAAACACAGTCCATGTTTATTCGATATTATTATAGAAACGGCTCTTTAATCTTCTACGCAATAAGTTCGCGTCGAACTTTATTCTCTTCTACGTAAACGGAAAAGCTCTTACGAGTAATAGAGATGGCTGCAGCCGTTCTGGGACCTTTGCGCTCCTTTATCGAATAGTCTCATCTCTTTCTATCCCAAACGTTGATTAGTATGCGAAAAAGAGACAACACACATCCATTGTAGAGACTTTAAAAACAGCTGGTAAGGGAAACTAAACTGTGTTAGGTTGTCGTAGAGTTTATATTGTATTGAATGGTTGTATAAAAGAGGTAGTAAGGCAGCTCCGCCTTAAAAATGGAAGGTGGTATGTAAAAATTGATGAACACGTATAGCCAGTCGTTAAAGTGACAGACTGCGCTGGCGTGTTGGGCAGTGTATATTGTCTCAAAATGTTGGGACTTTGCGCGCCTTTGCCTCTATTGTTTATTATCAAAAAGTGATAAATCAAATGACTTTGCAATAATTTTAATAAATATAAAAATTCCTGTGAACATTTCGCGTAAGCTTACATTGATGTTATGTGATAGTGATTATTATTGGTGGACTTTAAAGACCTGTAAGTGATAATAATGTGTATTTAGAGTTTTTAGAAACATTGTACATGGTAATGATTGTAACGTTTGCTTCATTATAAGTAAGTACTATCAAAGACCAAGAAAATCACAGTAAAAAGTCAGTTTTATCTACTAATATTTGAAATATGAAAGTAAAGTAAAGTTTATGCTATGTTTTTAAATTATAAAAACAGGCAATAGCTTACTTAAAAATCTTTAAAGAAATGCGAATTTGATCATAAAGTTATCAACCAATGATAAAAAACAGTTCGCAACTTGCTTTAAGCAATAAAAATAGTTTCTTATAACAGTTTCAATTATTACAAATAATCATAGAATAAACAGGATACATTTTCCAGGCATATTAATTAAGAAAATGATAAGACTAAGCGACGTTTGAATGTCGGCCATATTGTCACGCGCGGTAACACGGTGATGCGCGGCGCGGACGCCACAATGAGCTCATTCCTCATGAACGGTGGATACCAGCCGCAACCCGATCCTAAATTCCCGCCATCAGAAGAATACAGCCAAGCGGACTACATCCCACCCGGAGAATACTATCAACATCAGCACTTACAATACGGTTACCAACACCAATATGCGCCGGTACAGATCGGAACAGGGTATGGATACGGCGGTTACTATCATCCATTGCCTCAGCATCCGCCCGTCGCTCCACCACCTCGACCACCAGAGCCGTCGCACCCATCAGATGCGGATCATGGCTACGTTTCTCATGGAGCTGAACCTGCGCCCGGTCTGGCAGAGCTCGGGTTACGGCTGGAAAGGCATATTGAAGAAGCAGCGCCCGCCGGTAGAAAACTACACGCGTTGGGCCGCGAAGGCTCACCTGTGTCTGAAATGGATGACGAAAGACTCCTTCTAGATAGCCCTCCGGTAGAAGACGATGATTCCTCTATTTGTTCGGACAATACAGATAGAGTAATATATCCTTGGATGAAAAAGATTCATGTTGCTGGTGCTTGTAAGTATTTATAAATTTATTTGATTTCTAGACTAGATTGATGATACTTCGATAAAGTTCTAGAAACATTATCAATATTATTTTAATACACTTTTCTATTTAACATGATGCAAAGAACACTTGTTACAATTAACATACATAGAATACTAGGGAACTTTTCTTAAAATACACTAGCAACGATTGAAATTAGAAAGTAGATTTAACAAGGTATAGGTTTTAAGGTTTAATTAAACCTAAATTCTTGATTATGTTACATATTATTAAATAGGTATTTTTTAAATGATATTAAAAAAAAACATAGCGATCGACTTTACACGGAACGGTTGCCATATTTTGAATAGGGGTAACAATAATTGAATTATAACAAGAACCAACTGTACTCTCCAATAAAAGGGGTCTCAGAGTCGAGTTAAGGGGACAAAGTGAGGAATCAACCGTTAATCCACATTGAGCTGTATCCCTCTACACTTCGGTAGTACATAAGGTGCTCATGTTAATGTATAACGAACCGCCATTTTGCATTTCTTTTATTTCAAACATACACGTTTAAACGGTGTTTTTCTTTGAGACAATAAGACTAAGATAGTAATAGTTACCAACATTGTGTTATTTCATTATTCCATAAGTGCTGCAAATTCTACGGACCTTTTAAAAATAATAATAAAAATTATTTACAATATAAATTACGGCCGGTTTCTGAAATGAATCTCAAATACTTCACTTCAGGCTAAATACTTCACTTCGCAAACGCAGTTCAGAGACTATTAGAAATCAACATTCTTATGGAATTTGTGAATAAAGCGTAATCTTATCATTTAAGACTCACTTACATAATTAAATGTCGTTTCAGTATTTGGCCCTAAAACTAGTTAATACAGGGTAAACGTATAAGTATGGGTTACTACTGCAGTGACATGCATACATATTATTCATCCGTCTCGTACTCTCAAATAAACACAGAAATAGCAATAGGTTCTCATGGGTTTCAACGGCTTACAGAATGTACATTATACTTTAGGAATATCATCATTAGTAAAAATACTGTATTCATATCAAATTCAACAAAGTTAGTTTTTCATTAACCGCATTTTAATTGACTTTTTCCTACATATGATTTGTTGGAAAAAAATAAAAATGTGTATAGTCGAGTTAACTGAAATTTAATTAGTTTTAGTGGTGCGATTCCATGGGCGACACAGCTGTACTAAAATATATACTTATCTCACTTTTTTCAATGATAACGACAGAGCTGCCGATATTTTTTCTACGTGTATTTAGGCCGTAAAACTCGCGGTTACTTAGACCTATGAGAAAACATACTATTGTCTATGCGTGACGCTAGAATTCTCACAAAGCGATGATGTCAGCCTGCATTGAAGTAATTTGTACTTGAATTAGATCATCCTAGTGTTTTATACAAGCGTATTGTTAATTGAAGGTATACTTTTAATATTGTGTAAAAAGTGTAATTTATTTACAGATAAAGTATGATAATAGTTTTTGGACTAGGGCGAAGATAATCATTTTGTTATTTCTCCACATATTTCTTTTCTGTTCAATAATAAAAGTCATTTCTATAAACCAATAAATATCAATAGTTTATGTTATAAAATCATTTAACATTTTCTTTCACACACAATCAAACCGTTAAATATATAGATAGAACTAACTTTCGCCCGCGACACCGTCAGCGTGGAATAAAAAGAATCAAAAGCAAGTAGCTTACGTGTTTTTCCTGACTGTGCTCTACATCTATGCCAAATTTCATCCAGATCCATTAGGCAGTTTAGGCAACAAACTCTAACATTCCTCCATCTAAACTTTCGCATTTATAACATTGCTAAGATTTATTTAACAAAAAAAACACTAGTTACATAAAAAGAACACACACAGAACAAATCCACTAATTGTCTTCAAGTGTTCGAGATAAGTCACAATACAAAAGCATTATCAATAAGAAAATATTTAAAAAGAAAAAAGGTGCGTGATTAATACGATAGCATTAATTTCTCTTTGACTGAACCTGTATTGTCCAAACGAGTGGGGTACGTATGCGTTCCATGTTCGCGGTTTAAAATGAAAGAATTAACAAATTGCCAGCAATCAATATCACAATGTTTACGGATACTTGAGGATCTTTAAGGATGTCTTTTGATGTGTTGTGACAGTTTACTAATGGGATACCATTACGAAGATCCTGTGGAGACGCTACAACTTTTGTTACACAATAGAGCTACACTTATGTTAATGAGGGTCATTTATTTTAATAGACTTTAAATAGATATTTGCGGTGGAGAATTCGCCGCAGAGATTATTGATTACAAATAGGGTTTTGGGCCCTTTGAATTTTTTCACTTTGTTAAATTACTTTACAATTGTGCGTGCAGTTTGTAATTTGTAAATCTAAGTTGTTCAAACATTTAAAAGGTTTTTACTAATAATGCCTTGTTATATTGAACTCGTAATGTGAATTTTATCACGATTTATCGTTCTTTAGAAATTTAATTAAAAAAAAAACTCTCCGTAGATCTAGAGATTTAATATTTTCTCCGCAATCACGAAAATTATCATTTGTTTTCATAATCTAAAAGTTTAAAGAAGCTTTTATTTTCATTGCCAAGAAATTGTCACTTTTCAATAATTTTACTTACATAGGGTGCCAAAAATAACTCCTAGGTATTTAGTTTACGCCTTTTTTATACCGGGGGGTATTCTTCATAAGATATTCTACCTTTTGTGGGTAAGAAAGGGTTATATGAGACTTGACTCACTAAAAATCCTTTAATGGCCATCCTCGAGAGCGAGGATGGTGCCCGGGATCGCCAAAGAAACGCACCAGGATATTTAGTTACATATGTTTCATAAACACTGTTAGATTTCTCAACACACATCGAATTTACATGAAAAAATATTTTTTCCGTGATTAACATTAGCCTCTAGATAAATTAGACCCAACTAGATTTACATCCAGGTTTGCATACATTCGGTGGTATTTGCATAATTTTTTATATGAAAGTAACAAACCTTGCAATCTAGAAATTCTATAAGAAGCATACTAAAGCGAGTGTTCAGTAAAAAAGCTATTAGCTGTGCGTAGTTTTTGAAGAGGCATTAATGTTATTGTGTCGTGTAATCGACATTAGTCTTGCGCCGTTGACAGCGTTGTCAATAACTTCGTACGTAAATTATGCACATTGTGTTCGGGTCATTATGAACGTGACCTGAAGGTCGCGACACGGAATTTAGTCCTCAGGTAGATTCTGTCACAATGTGTTGCTAGTGTACGTATTATGAGAACTGAGATATATGTTTTAAAGGTCATGTAATTACAGCAAATTGTTGATATTTGCGGCTACTGATACTCCAATAGCTACCGTAAGACGTCAGCAAGTCCCGAGGGATTACAAAAATAACAAACAGTCGGCAATACTTCCTTTTTTACTTAATTTTTAATTAACATTTTGAATTCTATCATGCGTGTGTAAGTTAGTATAGACTGAATACTACTATTAAAAATGTAACGCAAGTTCTTTCTCTTGTGAAGGTGATTTAATTCAATTTACATGTGATTAGCATGGACACAGTAAATGTTTAGGTCATCGCCATCATCTCACTCTCAGCCCACTTCATTCTACTCCTGTAAAATCGGTTACTTCAACTTCTGTCATCTCAGTTATCAATTCATTATTGATTTTGTCACCTTTCAAGCAATCCATTTCTTTCTAGGCCTACGTCTACCGGTGTACCTCCACATTTTTACAGTAAAAGTTTTGGTACAAAACAGTATTCATGTAACGTCTCAAAACGTATTCAACATCATCGATTTTCAACCGTCATTCAGTGCAGACTTGTCATGAGTCAACTGCGCTGTCTGTGCTTTCAAAATATATTGAAGCAATTTAATATGGATGCGAAGTGTGCGATACGTTATCGATACATGTCATTGAGCGAGTATTTTTCAATCCCACATAATAGTGTAGCAGGGAGGAGATACGTAATGAGGCGGGACCACCGCACGGCGATAGCGCATGCGCGCGATGGACCCGAGATTAACAGATCGCTTGCGAGACCACACGTAGCTCGCGGCTCTCAGGTAGTCCGTAATTCAATTCAGATTGTCATCGTCTCGATGATGTGATAGCGAGCCTAACGAAGTGAAGATGGAACGTTGTAACGGTAGCGGTATAACATGTTTAGTTAGCGAATCCTACGAACAAATTTTTCAATTAGGAATTTTACATTGAGAAATGTTCCTCCATATAGATTTCGATGATTTTGAAAATGGTTATTGTGGATTTAACATAAATTTTATTTTTATTTAAGTACGTGTATCATGTAATAGCTTTAAATTGACTTTAATCGATCGATCTCGAGCTCGATCTCTATTCACTCTGAGCTCTGAGCTATGTATAACTTATATTTTACTGTGGTCTTTTTACGAAGATCGCATACAAACGACGTAATCTGCATACATGACCAAGATGTTCTTGCATAACGTTTTCAAAATGTAATCTTTAATTTTCCCATTAGTTTAAATCCGTTCGCGTGATATATCCGGGGTCGACTGTAGGTTATATTTGTATATAGAGCACCCAGATCAATGTGACGGGAGAGTCTGTACGACCACTAGAAATCTCAGCCGACCGCACATACCTCGGCCCAACCGCCTCGCCCCAACCGCGGACATTCTCAAAGAAATTCTCCGACGGACCCTATACATAGCCTCTATCTCTTTCCTACAAACGCTTAGTTGTAATTTAGATCGATGATATTACGTTTGATACGGCCCGCTATATGATTATCTTTGTTCATATGTAGGCACGTGGACATATACGAGGTGCTATAAATGTTAAAAAAATCTCTAGAACTCCAGTTTTACAATTTAAAAACATTTTTAAAAATATAACGTAACGGTGACGTAAGTATTGAGTACCTCCTTCTTTTGGAAAGTCGGTAAAAAATAATAGAGAATAGAATTCATATGTAGTTTTCTTTAATTATGGTTTATGACACGGTTTGTTACACATAATAAATGTATTCAAAAATGTACAGAAGATTAACAAACTACTACTATTTTTATATTTAAAATGGCATTAAATTGCGAGCATAATTATTAACATGTGAAAAGTTGTAAACAAAACTCTAGTCACGTTAGTAATTGAATAGAACCTTTTCATATGGTCCTTGAACTCGGTCTCTGCGCGAAAAGCAATTTCCTTTGACGGAAATTAAGAAATTAGTTTTGGAATTACTATAGCCTTCACAATGCTTAACACTTTTATTGAAAGGGAGTTTCTAGAATTTATCACATAGGATCGTACAAATAGGTTTTACAAAAGTACAATAACATCTGAAAACTCTTTCATTTATTGTGATAACAAATGGACTTGGTGTTATCTTTCGGCCGTTTTAATATTAAGGTGTAGATTGTCGTTTTTCGAACTAACTCATGTATATATCGCGGTTGTCTTAGTTGTGTTAGTTTATTATATATACTTGACAATGGCGATATCTCTAAGGAAACGCCATTAACACAAAATATAGATAGATAGTTAGATACTCTAAAATAAATTTTACATGAGAAATAATAAATAAACTTTTTAAGCAATAATATTCGAAAATGATAGTAGTCACAAAAACAAAAAGCATGTATCTGATTTATTCTGTAGAATACATTAAAATCTGACCTTATTTCAGACCTAAGTTTCTAATAAATTAATAACGCATTTCTACATTTTTTAATGAGATTTGAATCCAATTTTTAGAAATAAGTATAGATAGAATTCATGTAGGAATCAACGATCAATAACACAGTTTGACTATAACGTAGGTTGGTTGGCTTTTTATCTAAACTCAACCAGCGGCCATATTGTTAATACAAACAGCTAATTTACTAGCGGCAATTAATCACAACAAAAAAGGAAGCTCGAGCTTCGTACACGTGTAATTATTATGCACATTAATTAACGCACCGTGCCCCGCGAGGTTGTTACTGCATAAATTATTCAAGTACTCACCGACCCTAGCACGCAAGCTACCTTATTCAGCGTCGTATTAAAGCAATTTTGTAGTTTACGTCTAGTTATATGAAATGGAGTCTTATTTTGTGATGAAAATGTTTCTAGAACTTTATTAGGCGTTAGTGTTTTGTTTTATTTTGCCAGTCAAATTTAAATTAATATGACTTGATTATGGATTTGAGTAATTCGTAAGATTCAACAGTGTTGTATATAAAACAGCGATTGTGTTAATTATGTTAGCGAAATCATAATTATGAGTGTTACTAAAGCTTATTTCATTTTACACAAAATCTAATTCATCGCCTAGTATGCGATTACTCTATGAAATTATTATTCTCTTGCAGTTTATGACTGAATTTCAATATTTTCTTAGTATTTCATTCTGACTAGAAAAATTTTCTTTTTTAAATACTGGTATTCTAAATCTAAAACGTAACTAAAGAAATTGTTTTAATTCACATTTTTGTTTTACAGCCAATGGCACATTTCAACCCGGAATGGAACCGAAAAGGCAACGAACAGCATACACCAGACACCAAATATTAGAACTCGAGAAGGAATTCCACTACAATCGGTATTTAACACGGAGAAGAAGGATAGAAATCGCCCACACTCTAGTCTTGTCTGAAAGGCAAATCAAAATATGGTTTCAAAACAGACGGATGAAATGGAAGAAGGATAACAAATTGCCCAATACCAAAAACGTTAGAAGAAAAACGAATCCAGCCGGAGTCACGACAACGACGAAGGGAGCTACACCAAAGAGTAGATCTAATAAGAATACTAATAACAATGATAAGAAAAAATCGAACAACAATGGTCGACCGGATAGCATAGAGAATGTTACTGATAATATAATGAATGACTTACATTGTGTTGGCGCACAGAATCTATCGCATGATCCGGCGATTAGTCCTATGACTCATCCTGGTAGCCAAATGACTCCGGGACATCCGATGACGCCACATCATTTACACATGATGGGCTTACACGGTATGGACCCAAGCATGGTGGCCAATCTCTCGGCGCACGGATCCCCAGTGGGTAACTCCGGCTGTGGCACCGGTATGAACTCCACCAATCCACCAGTCATCAAATCGGACTACGGACTGACCGCCTTATAATCCTTATAAATGTATAAAAAAGAATACTATATTTTCATTAATGAACTTTCCGCGATTCTTACCATTCCCTTGTGTCGATAATGTAATAAAGTGATTTAATTTTTATTATTTAAGATTTATTTTTAATTATGTAAGAGTAAGTATAGATTAACCAGTCATTATTGGATGTTTGCATAACTAAGTGGAAAACTTTACAATGTCAAAAAGTGTGATTATTTTAGTGTAGGTTTAGATGTTTTTGGATTTGTACGTTTCCTACAAGTCATTGTCCTTATAAACTCACTTTTAGGACTAATGTTTGATTGCTTTGTCAACGTGCTTAGTTGACGTGTATTTAACTTAGTTACCAATATAGTTGTGTAAAATAATTGTAGACAAGAATATAAATGTAACGTTCAAAATTATTTCATAAAATCTCTTATTAAATTATTTTTATAGGAATATTGTAAAAGTTATAACCTTGTAATGGCGTTTGATTGTAAAAATAATATGTAAATTTATGTGTTACAAATTTTACCACCAATTCTTCGTTCAAAATGTTAGTAAAATATTAGTTAAGAATGTGCTTACTATCTTCGAATACCTATAATGAGCATTCTCATTTATTGTAAATTAAATTACGGTATTTTTTTATTTAAACTTATGTTTGTGATCTAGACAATGACTTAGGTTTAGGTACAAATTGTAAAGATTAAGTTTGAAAATGAACAACAGTTTTGTAACAACAATAGGAAAATGTGAATACAAAAACCAATAAATATAGCATCGTATTGAAAAGTTCTTGTAAATTTATTTCCAGACCCCTACATGTGTATAGCTAATCTAAGAAAGACGTCTTCATTTGTTTTAAATATGTTCCTGTAGAATACATTTATCCAATTTGCTTTATGTTGTACGACTCTAACTATTAAATTTTGTTATTCATAACTGCATTGTACATATAGAAAGTCAGCTTATTTTAGTAAAATAACGTTAGTTTTACTTTCATGTATTTTTAGTTTTCCATTTAACAAAACAAAATGATATTATTTTAAATTAAACAAGAAGTTAATCCAAAGTTCCTGTAAAGGCAATTTACTGGTTATAAAAAATAAATGTAATTTTCAAAGCTAATACTCTGCGCACAGGACAACAATAGAGTCGATATCGTCTCCGTGCATTTACCGATGATCCGTAACCATGGAGTCGATATCATAACCTTGCGCGATTCATATCGAATGAAACGAAAGCAAAAATCGTAATGTATTCGTTCAATGCGAAGTCATCAATCAATGTCGTCGGCTCATTGTGTGGCCGCACGCAACGTGTATCTCCTACTTATTCCTTACACGAGCTTGAAATATCTACAGCACAGTTTTATCATTCCGATACAAAGCCACGTTACTCTGACTTTGCCTTTTTTATTTATTTTTTTAACAAATGGAACATGTTACCGAGAGTGCACTGATAGACAATAAAGTTTTATTCAACTTCGAAAAGGAGGTTATTCTCTCAGTGAACCAAATTGGTCTGTAATTGGACTTAAATTTTATCGATACCTTATATTTAAGTGGTCTAAATAGTTAATTTATCAAGCTATAAGGCACTGTTAACAAAAAAATATAAGAAATAAATAGGCGTCGGTCTAAATTTCAAATGTGTCTTTTGTAAAAGACTAAAAAAAAAACAAAGAAAATAATCCTTTTAGCAACCCGTGACAGTCGAGAAAGAGTTAAAAATTTCTCGCTAATTTCGATAATGGACAAAGCATGTTATTGTTATGTGATTTGTATGCAAATAACAAGATTTTGCTACCGTCTTGTCCCTTTTGATGGATTTATTGAAGAAATGTTGCCGACTGTTTGTTATTTTTGTAATCCCTCGGGACTTGCTGACGTCTTACGGTAGCCGTTGGAGATACAGTTAGCCGCCTTTGATTATTAAAAGGTTTTTGACATCAACGTAAATAAAGTGTGCACAAGGATTTTACTTAAAAATATTAATATAAAATAGCAAATAATACTAAAGTTATGACATACGTTGCCGTAGGTCGGTGGTTTAGCTTTTACGCCTTTATTTAGTTTTTCCATACAAATAAAAATACTACAATTATTGTCACAGAAGCAGCGTACATAGCAAAGGGCATCAAGTTTTTATAGTAACTATCTAGCTATATTTCAATTAAAGATGGTCTAGTAATTTTACAATCTCGACATACAAATAATTGTTACATAAAAAAACAAAACCGACTTCCAAACAAAATACACGAAAAACAAAACAAAATGCACTAAAAACAAAACAAAATACACCAAAAACAAAATATTCTCAAAAAAACAGTACACTAAAAAGTAACGAAATAATTCCTTGAAAATAGTAAACCTACCTTATTGTAACTGTTATGTCTATATTGTACAATTATTTTTACTTTGATGTCGGTGTCAGCCGAGGTAAGCAGTGATATTTCTACGTAAGGGTTTCCACATTTTTACCATAACAATTGACAATTGAGAGTATAGTAACAATTAAGTAATGAATATAAAAAAAAATATATCGACGAATTGAATACCTCCTTCTTTTGGGAAATCGGTCAAAAATAATAAATAGTAACAAAACAACCGAAGAGTACTTAAAGATTTCCACAAAACAAAAGAGTAGCGGTAAAGTAAAAGCTTTGCAATTGACAGAAGATTCCCAGGTGACTACCGTTGGCGTCCCGGACCTCTCCCTCGGGACTATTCAAAGAAAAGTACCGATATCACTATCCAATGACTTGCTAATAACACAAACAAAGCAACAAAATCTTATTGATAATATGCTGCTTGTTAAAATAAAACATTAAAAACACATGCTATTTTTTTAATTAGATCTTAGAAAAACAAACTGTGGATACTTGATTTGAGAAGAATGTCAAGAGTCGACAATTTTGCTATATAAACGAAATAACATAACTAACTGAATGCTGAGACGGCTTAGAACGACAAATTTCAATATATCGCCGGAGACGAGGCGTTGCGTAGGGTCGCTGAACGCCCTCCGTATAATATGCACGGTGTGGAAGTTAAAAGCGTATAGCGATTTAAGTTACCACTATTTAATTCATTAAATTAAGCGCTTGTTTTTACTACATTAGGTTTGTCCTGTCTACGTCTTGTACGTAGAACATACACATAGGTACATAAAAATATGTAATTGAGCGGGAAGTATAAGACGGTAAATTTTACTTTACACAACGAATCCAAGTTCAACTAGAATCGACTTTCCTACATATAAATATTTTTCTAGTAGTGTAATACATTGTAATGAAGACTTGAAAGTCGTTGCGACTAGTTTTAAAACCAAGTGTTTGTGTAAAATTTTTTTCAAACGCTTCAGTTTGTAAATTGGAGTATATCTTTATATTTGCTGGGGAGGCTGACGTCGTCAGTCGTTGTAATCCATACTGGAGTCGGTTTGAGAGTTGCAGAAAACGTGCGTGAGATGACGGAGCGAGGGAGGGAATGTGTATTAACAGTGGATTTCTTTGTATGAATTGATTCCTCCTTGGATTGTGGCATCCGGCCAATTGTGGGTGATTTTCTTTTATTTTTTATGAATCACTTCTTTGTACAAAATTGTACTTTTTAGCAAGCATACATTTTAAGTTAAAAAAATACTAAATATAGGGCGAATGTAATTGATCCGTAAGTTTTATACTAATTGTTATTTAATGATTAATTTATTTTATGATTGAAAATTAATAATTTAACTTCGTTTATGTCTTATTCAGGCAAATTAAATCAATGAAATCGAAAATTCTTCGAGAATCATTTCTTTTAAAAGATAAGTTTTAAAAGAATATTAAATTGCATCATATTTCAATGGAGCCATATTTGAAATTAAGTTACATAAAGCTTTGGCTATTAAAAAAACTATCTTCCTAAGCTCTTTTATTTACATTTAGACTACAAACCCGGCCCTACTTGTAGGTATAATGTATATAGAAAATGCAGAGCACACATAGTATTCGGTAGTCAGTCGGCTAAGCATTTGTGCCCTTTATTGGGGCGCGGTTTGCGTGTAGTGCGTGTTTGTGTGTAGTACGTCTGTTTATGTGTGCGTTGATTTCACGACGCCCGGTATGGTTTTATATGGCACGGCGCTACGAAAGTACTGAATAGAAATAAAAAAAAAACTTTTTCAAGAACAATTCAGATAAAAACTTCTTTTTATGTAGTTAATAGTTTGCGTATTAAAAACATTTTGTTTTATAAAGAACTGTACGTATAAACCATTAATTAGGTTATTGTTTTGGTATTATATTTTAATAATATATAGTGTTAACCAATTTAAAATTATTTTATTTATCTAAAACGAACTGCTAGCAACATTGTAAGATTATTTTATTAAATTTTGTATTGTAAATTTGTATTGCAATATATCGTGCTGTTTGAAAAACTTCCTTATTGCGCTTCTGTACTTTCGTGCGGTAGTAGCCAGTCGCGTTATTCAGAGGGCACGCACACATGCAGAGCTACACACACTGGGGCGCGAGGGGTGCGCCTGAGGGAGGCATGGTGGGGACTGTATTAAGTTTCTTTCTTTTCACTAAAATAATTTTAGGGGATGGTTTTGCTTCGATATTTTTTTCTGAGGGTCCTCGACCGAGCCCGTGTTGAATGCGCTCGACTGTTTAATTTGAGAAATGGCTGTTTTCGTGGGGTGCATTCGGTAGTAGTGAAGTTGTTTGCGACTGCGATGATATATTTTTTCCAACTGTTTATGTAATATTTCTTTTATTATGATATCAATTTTGTTGAACATAATAGTAAAATATCACCAACAAACTATTTATAAATAGACATATATTAAAATACCGTTTGACTAGCTGTTCCTCGCGACTTCGCTCGCGTTAAAAAAAGTATGGTCTATTTTACTCACAGATAAAACACCTTTCTAATGGTGAAAGAAATTTTAAAATCGGCCCTGTAGTTATTGAATTATTTCAATACATACAAAAATACAAATCTTTCCTCTATTATAACATTAGTATAGATTATTATCAAAATAATTAAAAAAATACAATAATCGAATTGAAAAATATAGGCAATTTTTCCATACAATATTGGTAATAGATTTTAAATGTCGAAAATGGAAAAAACAAGTTGCCCCGTTAAAAATATCGCTTTGAAGCGTCAAAGCTTTCGCTGAAATATTCTTAATCAAAGTTTTTACCTGATAGCAGCCCGCGGCGCGCCGGCCCCCGACTCCACCGACCTGTCAATCTCTCAAAATGTTAGATTAAAAACATCATCTTTACTTTTTTAGCATTAGTAGGATCAAGGAATTATATTTGGGTAGAAAAAACGACGACTCGGCAAAGGAATATGATTATAAGGCCGCTTTAGATAAACTTTTGA